CACGTCCCTAGTTTTCCAACTTTTTAATCAGAACTCAGTTGGAAGTTGTAACATCTATACGCCGTGTTAGTTCCGCATACACACTGCAATGTTTTTTGTAAATATCTCGGTTTTGTTACAGTTTTCAATTTTGTTTTTAATTAAATCCTATACAGATACTGTAGCCTACGATTTATAAAAGTTTATTAGAATAAACTCAAATATAGCACTAGATTTTTTATGGGATTGTAGTACGATTGCTAGTTTAAAATTAGGGCCTAAAGGATAAAAACAGGGCTTTACTGAATGTCCGTCCGTCTATAACCAGGCTGTATCAACTGTCTAGGTATCACGGTATTTCTTTTATTTTTATTTTCGCTTTAAGAACAACTACTAAAAACAAAATAAAATTAATATTCAAGGGGGCTCCCAAACAACAAACTTGATTTTTTTAAATAAAAAACAGAACTCCTCGTACGTTAGTCCAACGCGTAGTTTGCTGGATTCTTATTAGACTTTTATTTGGTCGCCATTTTGTTCAGACGTGGCTACGATCCTCGACAACTTTCAGGAAAAAATATTGTACTATGTCTTTGTTCTTCTGGGAACACAATCAATACTGACGGTAGATAGGTAAAATTTTAAGCATACTTTTTTAGGTGTCCTATGATCTTTATTAAAAAGCTATCATAGAAAACAGACTTAACTCACGCGTTCTTGAAAACTTACTTCATTATTTAACTGTATATAAAAAGAATATATTAGAATAAATATAAAATTTAAAGGAAATTCCACGTCGAATATTCGACTTATATGAACGGCCTACCCCTGGGGGGCTTGTCCCTCTTCAAAATGCGCTTACAAAAAAGTCAATATTACACGAAATTTAAACATATATTTTATTGAAATATCTCTTTTAATATATTTACTCCATTTCACACTTTTAAGGTACAAAAACTATACTAACTAAAAAAACTGAGACGTCAATGTTTTTGTCTCCTGATAATTGTGTTTCCAATACTTTTAGTATTTTTTTTTCTATTAATTAATAAATGTCATGCCATATTTTTTAATTAGGCGTTAATTAGGCCTTCACTAACATGTCTGTGAAAAATAAATTTTAACTCGTTCCCGAGGTAAGTTTCTCGTGAAATATGTTTTGGTAACCCTGCGCGATAGTTCGGTGCCAAATGTAAAATTTATAATAGATGGGCAAAATTATGTTTTGTATCGACAAGTTTGTATGTTGAAGATAATTGCCTCGATATTATGAACTAAAATTATCGACTTAAATAATTAATTGATTGGAAATTTACAACCAGAAACTACAGTAATGATTACAGTACGGTAAAATACAGTAATCATTACAGTGGCGTCATTGCTGTGACGTAGTGGACCCCCAAATGACGATTATACTTTATACATAGCCACAATATACATTAAATTTATAAACTTTCTATATTTAATATTATTTTTATTCTAAAACATTTTAGGATTATTTAATATTTGTGATTTAGTTTGGGGATAGAGTGTGGTAAGACTAAAGTTTCTTAGTGAACATTTCAACTAATGAAATGTATCCTCCATCTGTCTACTTCAAATGCTTTGAAATTTCTATACAATATGAAAAATCATATCTAAATTGGGATTATTTTTCAATTTCTCAGTAAGATAAAGAAAAGATTTCTGATTTAAGGCTGGTTATACATGTAGTAACTATATCAATAGTTATACTTTTATATTAGTTAGAGAACTATTGCGTTTGTACAATATTTTTTGTTGTTTAATTGTGAGAATATGAAGCTAGGCTTCATATTTTAATTTATATCACGTTACTATGCCATCGATGTTTCTGGTACCAACAAGTTTATTATAAAAAAATAAATATAAATAATTATTTGAGTAATATTAATGGCTTATACCGTCATTCTAGTGGCCGCAAAATAAGAAAAAGAATATTTCTGCGAAAGTATTTTGTTTTAAAGGCTGCCTCACATATTATTAAATTCACAGCATAATCAAGCACATTTGGTTTGGGTAAATTGTGAAAAATAAAATTCCCCACCGCAATGACGGAAAATAACTGAAAATTTACCCAGATAAGTACGAGTATATATGGTGAAATAACTGCATAACTTACGCACTATCATAATAGGCTTTGATATGAAGATTCAAAATTAATATTATACAATATCTAGTAAAATTATACACTGCTGGGGATAATTCCTTCACTCCCTCTAGCTGCCTGTACTCGGTAACCTTATAATTAGCCTGAAATGAAAGTAGACAACTACATATCGACGCTGGAAAGCAAACACGTAGTAACCCGCAAAACCAAAATTGTTCTTCAGAGCAGAAAAGCTTTTATTTTTTTCGATAAATAATTCCTATAAACGTCCATGGTAACAAATAAGGTGTTCCTTAGTCAATTAATATGGAAATAAGATATTTATTTTTTTGGAATATAAAGATTTTCCACTATAAGTATCCATTTCATTTTGCAGGTTACGTGTTTGCTTTCCAGCGTCAATATATGTCTTCAATTGGTTTAGACGCGTGAAAATCGAGTATTTATCAATAAGCTCGATTTTCATGAATAGCAGATGAGAGGAATCGATAAAAAAATGAGGCATAATGAAAATTAATCTTGGAGTGATTCCCTTGATTCAACTAAGCAACTCGGTTTTAAACATGTTATCTAACATGCAAACCCTCTCAGAATCAAATTCTAGATGTGGTTTTCTTTGTCGTACTTTATACCATAACCAATTACTACTAAATAAAAAATAATATAATTAAAATTTAGTCGTAATAATAAACATACTTACAGATACGCTATCTGTACAGTACATATTTCAAATCTATACTGATATTATAAAGAGAAAAAATTCATTTTTTTTTGTTTGTTTGCATCGTATAGGCTCCGAAGGTACTGTAATATGCGACTGCGAACTAAAAGATATATTGTGAATCATCGCCAGAACTTTCAGCCTGGTAGTCTCAAAAAAGTTTACGATTTCTCAGATTTAAGAGTTTCTATATCTTCTGGACTGATTTATGTGTCGTCTCAGATAACGCTTCGTTTGCGGATCATCAGTGCACATTTACACAGAAGATGTTTTGATGTGTCACGCTCCTATTTACATTGTTACAGTGATAGCAACAGCTCACAACATCACGTCCTTAGACGTGCCCCGGTATGGTGACCCTCACCGGGAAGCGAACCTGGCCTGCTACTACGTCAAAGATAAAAATGACCCTGCACTACACTCGGTCAAGTGGTACAGGGGATCCAATGAAATATTCAGATTCACACCGGAACAACAGGTATTTTATGAATAAATATTATAAATGTATTAATTTAATATTCGACAAAGTTACTCTCAATAGTGCAGTGGTCAGTGCGTCCGCAATATGGCTGTTAAGCGACTTTCGCAATGGCTAGTTATAAGATGGGCGTCCAAAAAAATATTGTCTTGACCTCCTCCGTGCTTCTGAAGGTTCGTTAAGCCGTTGGTCTGAGGTACATACAGGCCCGAATGATGGGTCACGGGCCCATGCTCCCTATTTTAATATCGATATTCAATTTAAATTCAATATTGTTATCAGTCCATGATATGCCATCGGTTCGCTAATCTACAGCGTGAGACCTTGTATTAAGAAAAAGCGTTTAAAAACTCAGCAATAGCATTTTCTCCCTGTTTTATTTCATATTATTAAAAAAATTACTTCATTAAATTATGTAGTCACATTTCATATTTTAAGCAATACAATATTAGAAATAATAAACCATATTTTTTTTCGATAAATCAATTTATATGCTGAGTAACACATACTCATTGAAGAAAGGCGAATAGTTAATCGGAAAATAAAACTCTTTCTGAAGATCGACCAATAGCGAGCAACTAGTTCGAAGAACACTACTTCAAATGGTTAATTGCAACAAAATCGTAGAATAGATGTCTCGCCATTAGAAAGTCGATACTAGGGATCCGTTCATTATCATCAATCAAGGCGAGATGTTGGTGAAATGGATCTTTGTTGATTAAATGGAACTCATTTTGTGAATGTCAGACTTATAATCAATAACACCCGAGATGTTGATAGGACTTTTGTTGAACCAAATGTTGCTATTAAATTTTGTGAATAAGAAATTGTTTAACGGTTTCAGTTTTTGTTATTGCTATTTTATTGGTGGGGACTAATATTTCTGTGATGATGTATGCCGTTGAGCAAGAAACAAAAACTATAGAAACAATTAAAACATTGTTACTATTTTTAGAGAAATTGACATTTAAATTGGAGAAGTAAATTTTGGTAACATATCTTTTACTTTATAACTTAGCCAACTAAACGTTGCAGATAAGAGATCATCTTCTCCTATCCTTATATAATTGTATTTTAAAAATAGCACACGACTGCACGTTACCACAATATGTCAAATTCATCCAATTGTTTTTAAACTCTAACCTCAAATTAAGGAATAAAATCAGGTGAAGAAATTTGATAGATTTGTATAGCCTGACATGCCGTTGACTGTACCACATAATAAATTACAAGATAAGACTACTATAGTTCATTTTGAAGCAGGTCTAAGAGTAACTACTACTATCATGGTATAATCTTATTAGCATGATGGTATGTGAATAGTTGATTTACAATTTTATATAGCCTCCAACAAGGATTTTCAACACCACTACTGGTGGCGGCGTGACACGAGGCTCCTGTAACCTGCACAGCTGCACGATCAGCGTGGTGCTTCCCAGGAGCTACAACACTCGCCTCTCTTTCACTTGCGAGGTGTCGATGGAAGGGCCTAGGTTTGCAGTTGTTAAGCAGACCAAGAATTTAACCGTGGCTGGTAAGAGAAAGAGAAAATATATTTATTCAATTAAACATATTTTTAATTAATGCTTAATGGTTGATCATGTGTAACTGAAAATAAAAAGCTTAAACTACTAAGTTCAGTGTCAGCTTCCAGTCTTCCACTACTCTAAAACTGGTTTTTCTCTCAATTGTAACTTAAATCTAAGTGTGAAAGAGAAATAAATGATTATTATTATTTAAACTTAATCGCAGTGATAACCGAAGTTCAAGGTTTTAATTTTAACTTCTTATTTACACTACTTTTGTTGTCATAACAACTAATAGCTATCCAGAAATATAAAAATATCACTGTGGATAAGGTTCATTTACTTTGCACAACACGGTAACTTAATTTTTTCAAGTATTTTGTAAAAAGTAAATTCGTCTTCAGAGATCAAACATCACTGGTAAAAAGCCTGACAAGAAGCCCGCCCTAATATTTTCCTTTAACTGTTAATAAAAATTACTTTGTCCGCAGTGATTCTGAAAGAAGACCCAACCATAATTGGTTTGCCATCAATGGTACAACCAGGAGAAGATATTTTGCTCAATTGCACAACTGGTCCAGCTATGCCACCGGCTAATATAGTATGGTACATCGATGGGAAAGCAGAGAGAGTAAGTAGTTAAATAGTTAGTAAGCAAGTTATTAATAAGAATGATAAAGAAAGTGACATTAAGATTTTGATCGAATAGAATAAGTTAGTAAAGATACGGATAATATTCACAGCAACGATCGATCAAGCTGCCTTCACCATTTTAGTTTTTAACTGGAAGCTTATCTATTGATTTACAGAGTACGGATACCTGTAGGCCATATTTTATTAAACTAAATATTATGACCCTGCCATCAATCTATATATTCGAAGTTGGTATTTTTGTCAAACAGAATCAACAACTATTTGAAAATAAGACGAGATTGCGTCATCGAGACAAATTGTGTACGATACCCTCTAAGACAGCTCTGTTGAACAAAAGTATATTTTGTATGGCTCCAAAAATTTTTAGTAAAATTCCAATAACAATACGTAATCTGGATGATTGTGGTGTTTTTAAAAGAAGACTTTGTAAATTATTAGTAGCTAAAGCATATTATAGTGTAAACGAATATCTAGCTGACAGTACTTTGTAAATGTATAAATACTTAATGAATTAATTGAATTTTGACATAACATGTTATTGATTAGTTTAGTTGAAAATTACTTAATTGTATGCCTTTTAGGCAGATCACGGTGTAACTATTCAGTCCTTGCATCCAATATCTTTATATAACCTGTGATCAACAATAAAGATTGATTTAATTTGATTTGATTTGGTTAATAGATGGAGCCATGGATGGTGAACAATACCCAAGTATCGCCTCCTAATGAATTTAATCTGCGAAGTAGCTGGAGGTCATTGCGATTACGAGTCAACACGCAGAGAGCAGCTGTGTCAGTTCGTTGTGAAGCCACACAGCCAACGTGGCCTCCTTTTGTTAGATCAACGAACGCCAGTCTGGTGGTAGCTCGTACACCACATCTCTCCATGTTCACTGCTTCTGGTAATATACTATATTATATTTAGTGAATTCCGTCATTTTTGATCTTGCATCTAAGAGTCATTGTAAAACAAATTGCAATATTTAAGATATTATAGTCCATAAAGAGATAATAACAAATATATATAAATAGAATAACAGACTGTAATAAACTTATTCAAATATCTCTGAAATACGTAAAATCCCTTAACAGTTAGTTTTTTTACAAATTTAACAATTCATAGTAGGATGAAATCTTCATAAAATATATATGGGAAAACATAAAGGCGATCGTGGCTTGAAATTACGTATATTTCTTCTGTTTAATAATATTTTATACACCACCAATCTTCTTACATCCCTCCTCAGTCTCTCGTCGTCCATTCGTCTTCCCTCTTGCTCACCTCATACCCATTCTCTTTCACACATTCATACGTTCCTTTCCACACATTTCAATCATCCTACATATATGATAAATATTTTGATGAACTACACTTTATCTTTTGATTCCAAAACAGTACTTATTTCGATAAATAAGACCCGGTTTTGGCTAATGACCCTATTCGGCCATTTGGGACTTCAAGGCGTTCCAATTAACGCACAGGTAAATTTTTTACCATGTTTGGTCTTGAAAAATGTATAATGAGTTGCACAAACGTCCATTTAAATTGCCGTTATTTTAAAGCGCCATTACCCATACAAAATTGCTAATGGACGTTTATGCAACTGACCAAAACTGATAAGTTAATTTCTGTCTATTATGCCCTAATTAAATATATTATATGAGAAAATTGTTTCAGGTTCGCTTTCAACCGCATATGAGGTATCCGTTGCGGTGTTAGCCTCGTGCTTGTCATCAGTACATATATTTTCTAAATACAGTGCCTTGAGTGAAGTCTAGTCATCTCGAAAATAAGTGAAGTCAGTGTAAGAACGTATTTTGTGCATAGTTAGGTAAAAAATGTCACATGTCGTGTTCACACACCGAGTTGGTTAATATGTTTTTATCTTTGTCACTATGCATTAAGTTATACTCTATAAATTCTTGCTGTTGTAAAAAGATTGCTTTAAAATGAAATTCTCTGTAGATGACAAATGAAACTATCCTCGTTTTGCAAAACTCTTAAATTTTCCGATGATAATAAATCATTTACTTGGTTGAAATTAAGAAATGGATAAGCTCGGAAAGTAGGCATGATAACTATATAAGGATGCATGGAAAAAAGAAGCGAGACTCAAGCATGTGTGCTAGCAACCAAGCCAAGAGATGCTAGGAATAGGTGCCGCCGGAATAAAGCTCATTTCATAACTTAACTTGTGACGTATTCACACTGGTTGAGGACATCCGCGTGCGGTAATCAGACGATTTCTTTACCTCGCTTCTATTGCTCGATTATTATTTAATTGATCAGTGAGTCGAACGTGTCGATATCATCGATAAATGAGGCGTAATATTTGTATGCTGTTGTAACAGATCTTATACTTATTACATACAACATGACGAAATATAGATCGGTGGCATCAAGCAACCGTTTACAAGGAAGTGAAACCGCTGTGATGAATTAATATTCCTTCAACGAGTGGTTATGAAAAGAAAGGATGTTGTAATCTTTGCTGAATGAATGGGACGTGATTTCTGTATGCGTGATTCAAATATGATTATAAATAGTATTAGTAATAATTCCACACAAAATAGAAAGGCAAGCAAAATTAGTTTTGAATAAGGAAGGAATATTTTTTAGTTTTCAGTATATGAACAGAATGCACATGAAATCTACATAAGAACACTAAGCCAATGAACTACATATCCTCAAACTGATTGGACACATCCTTATCATCTCTGATATCAATTTAGGAACACTCAGAAACAAATGATGACGTTTGAATTTGTCGGATCTTCATTAGATTGAAGAGATCAAACCTAAAGTTTTCTACTGATTCACATTTACGACAAAAAATATATATGGAGACATAATAATCAAACAGTGTTTATTTACGCATAAATAATTTAATAAAAATCTCATGCAAATACATATTGCTTCCATTAGAAGCTGCCACAACATGTACCCAAGAGGAAATATATGAAATTTATTAAGATTACAACAATTATTACAAATCGCTTAAAGCAGAAATCATGTTTGATTTTTTTATGAATTTAGAATAAATAGAGAAATCGTCATGCCTTACATTCTGGCTGCTATAATGCTAAATAGTATGCAAGATTGCTCTTAAAAGATTCAGGAAAAAATTCAAATAAAAACGCGATGGTCTTTCATGCTTACGTGGAATATTAAAATAAATTTCCTTTTACAGAGCAGAGCAATCTAATGCACCGTTATCAGTTTTATATAAATAACAATTGATCCAATAATCGTCCATCCATTAAAGTATGATAAAAAAAGTATTCGAAACACTAATTTTATTTACCTTTTGGCAAATACGATAAAGACAATTAATAGTCGAACAATGTTTTGTACGATTGTGGTTATTAATTTAATAATCAAATTCGGGCCAATTTATTTATTTTTATTTATTTATTTATTATTGTGATAAAAACGACGTAGGTACATCAGTTACAATTATCACACATTACAAAAAAAAAATTACAATTCACATTCATTATTAAAATAATTAAAATTTATCACACATAAAATAGGTAAATCATAAATAAAATAGGTCAATAAATTAACAATTACATTAAATAAACTAGTCATTATCTTCACTGTCAGAGTTACCAGAGATACTCCATTGGTCCCTTACATTCTCACAGTACATCAATAATTGCCGCTTGATATTTCTTCGGGATATGTATATGTAATATGTAATACGACGTATATGTCGAATTACGTTTTCCAAAGTACGCCTCCTGAGCAAAATTGGCTTGGACGTGTTTTATATAATATATATTTTTTAAGAAAATAATAATCAAAAAGCTATATGCTTTTACGATATTATTAGGGAATAAATATTTTTTTATTTCGTATGTCATATCATAATATACCTATTACTAAATTGCGTTAGCAATAGGATCTAGAGGAAAGCCGAATATGGAATATAATGTCTATAATGAAATTCTTTCTTAAATTATTCCCAATGGAGGAAAATCGGATTCGGTACAATTTAGAAAGGAATCTCAGTATTCATACTTTCTTCTACCAATTTGCTACTTGACAGTAATAAGAAAAAAAATATTAAATATTTTGTAATGTTAACTAATGCACAAACAATAATTATTTAGCATTTTTGTTTTAAAGTAAATTTCAATTTAATTTTGCTTTTGCAAAATTCCAAAACCCTGGCGACCATGACGAAGCATCATGTGACGTCACATTTCAATAAACGAAACGTCATTGTCTTTGTTCCGAGTGCAACCAGTACACATGTTTATTAAAATGTGACGCCCCGACTCGATATGTCACGTGACTGATTGTTTTCGCGGACAATTTGTTTAATGGAAAAATATAAATCTGATAATAGTTTAATATGATCATATGTATGTTTTGAACTACATATATTTTTACATCTGCCTATACATTTACTATCACTAAAGCGTACCGTAAAAGCCACAGCAAAAAAGTGATATATCTCAAGTTCTCTATTATTCCCATAGAATAACTTTTTCTTGATACACGAGAAAGCCCGTAACACAATATTATCATAAAAATTTGTTCTCACCGCGTTCCCCTTTGTAACATAAACAAAACAGGTTGATTTATTACCGGAGCAAAGGGAACAAAAGTGGGGCACAGTTGGCATATGTTCCGTATCGATTCAGATGCGAATAGAAACTATCTTACCGATGTTAATGTTGTCAGATATTCGATTTACGCAAGTTGTTTCTTTTTGCCGTATACCGGAAAGATTAATGGAATAAAAAACTTCAAAGTGATGGTTTGCTTTAGGTAGACAAGTTCTAGGCCAGTGTCACAAATCAGAGTTTTAGATCGTTAACTTTTATTGTCAACAGTAGATAGGCTTACAAAATCTAGAATGTCTAGTCTAGGTGTTGTGGTACTTTTGTTGTCTCATATACGGAGGCTTTAGTATTTATTTAAATAATTAATAAATACATAATCAATAAGAGCATTCCTGTCATTTGTAATCTGATGTAATATACTATAACACAAAAAACGATTTTAATTTGGAAATCTTTTAAAAAAAAATTATAATCGAAATCGATTAAATAGTGTAAGAACGGTAAAATAAAAGTTTTCCTCTCAATTTTCTATTTATTCACCGTATCCTCAAACTCCTACAAATATTCGAAACTAAATATGTACTTCTCCGTATCGCTATATGAGTTCTTCTGTTTTGCGCTTCATTAAGCGATTCATAGATAAATTTTAAACTGGTTGCAGAATAGAATGCAATTCGATAAATACAATGATTGAAAATTTCGATGTATACTCGGTGTGTGAACATTTGCTGGGTCGCTGTATCGGTGCTCCTTGTACGCTATTTCATATAGTACTCCAGTTCAAAAGGGATGCACGCTTTGTCGTTCCTCTTGGCAGCCTTCAAAGTGTCTCGGAATAGTTCCACGTATAACTGCACTCCGACCAAGCAATGAGAATTGGAAGCGAACAACTTTACCATATAAGTTGGTTGGAGTGGGATAAATCCACTGTTATTGGCTATAAATATGAACGAAAGAAAATTGTAGATATGACACTTATCTGATTCACAGGTTTTTCATGATGACCGATTATGATAAAACTATTGTTCATTTGAAAACTTTATATTTTAATTCCTTTTTTTAATAAAAATAAATTGATGACACTCGGAGTTAAAGCATCATCACTTTGGTTTTATTATTATATTTCACTTGAAACAAAAACAAAACTATTAAAGTTTTGAATTTAGATTCAAACATCATGAAATATCGAATGTTGATTTTGAGAAGACTCAGAGACCCGCCAATCAGAGACAATGTGTAATTTAGCGTAGAATACTACGCTAAATTACACATTTCAAATGCTTTAGAGTAGGAGGAAGCATAATTTATATCAAAATGTTTTCTGATTCATTATAAATAAACCGATAGGTGGTATCGTTATTTTCCTAGTTAATTTAATTAACACGGTCTTAAAATAATCGCCTAGGATTTATGCGTTGTATTTTATCATTGTCCTTAATTTTTGTATTTTCTTTTTTGTAAATACGTTGATGTTCTGTGAAAAATAGAACTGAAATATATGTAAGTAGTAACAGATATGCAGATACAGCAATCAGCATTATGTGACTATAAAAAATAATGTCAGAAATTATTATATTATAAATAGCAAGCACTGAATTTCGATGTTTTAAGTCACAACAAAAATTTGTAATTATATTTACATTCGTTGAAGGGAGAGCTAAAGTATGGCATAATTATTATTAAAATTGAGACATGTCGATAAAAATAAAACTTAATGAAATTTAACATGCTATATTTTACAATGATAAATCGATCTAATTTCTTCGATCAAAAAATATAATTTGTCATTCAATATTTATAATTCCAACCATAACATTTTGAAATAAAATTTAATCTTTATTATAAATCAAGACGCTATTTTCTACTTTTATGTGATTTAAAAAAGTTATTTATTTTTGTTGATATCGGTTTTTCAAAAATATGTGTTTCTCATATACAATACCAAATCTGGCAACTCAAAACTTGTTGTTTCATAAAGTATTTCAAAATATGAATTCAAAATATAATTTCATATAATTGAAATTTGATTTTCTTACATATAAAGTATTGACATAGCATAAAATATCAGACTTCCATTATATATAGATTCTGCAGTTTATAATGATAACGTATCTCTTTTTATTCAGGATGAAGAAAAAACGTAGCCCACCAAAAACATAAATGTGAAAACTGACAGTTAAGATCAATGTTCAATGCTCAAAATTGTGTGATTGTCGGCTCCACCGGCAAAAGTATTGATATATAAATGAGTGCCAAATTCAGTAGACTTTCCTGAAATTAATTTATTTTAAGATTGTTTAATATACTTTAGTTACCATCAAGCAAACAGCTCAAAATCTAGAGCATTTCAAAGTTTGACTTGGCTAGTTTTTACTAAAAAATCATATATCTACCAGAGTACAATATTTGAAACACGAGTTTGCATATAACGAACTAAATAATTATGAAAAATTGTTTACCAAAGCATATTAAAAGTAGCCA